GGACTCAGGATTAGCATCAAGAACAACATTCAGGAAAGTAAGGGGGACTCAGGATTAGCATCAAGAACAACATTCAGGAAAGGAAGGAGGACTCAGGATTAGCATCAATAACAACATTCAGGAAAGGAAGGAGGACTCAGGATTAGCATCAAGAACAACATTCAGGAAAGGAAAGAGGACTCAGGATTAGCATCAAGAGCAACATTCAGGAAAGGAAGGAGGACTCAGGATTAGCATCAAGAACAACATTCAGGAAAGGAAGGAGGACTCAGGATTAGCATCAAGAAGTTGAATGGCCAAGCAGACCCAACAAAGTCTTGGCTAACCCCACTGGAAACTCGGGCTTGTATATGCCCCGTCAAAGTGTCCCACCTCTGGCCAAAATGGTGGGGGGGCCATAGAAGGGTCTTGGACAAGGCAGCGAGATGGGGAGCTCTCTGCTGACTGCATTTCCCCAGCCTAGCAAGTGGGGATCCTGGAAGTGGTGCAGCTTTCTGACTTCCACATCCTTACAGCAACTCTTGGAGTTAGGTGTTTTTATTTGGATAGTTGAAGAGACTGATGTTCAGAGAGAATAAATGGCGTCTTGTTCTGTCTGCACGTAATGTAACCCATTAGTGCTAAAGCCAGGATCAGAACCGAAGTAGAGGAGGGAGACTCTGGTCCTGATCGTAATGAACACATTTTCCACAAACTCATGCTGGGGATGAGAGGCGAAAGCAGGAGAGGGATCAGAGATGTGTGACAATGTCCACTATTCAAGGCATCCACACTGTTTTGGGGGACACACATCTAAACAAGTATTCTAGTGAAAATCTTACCCATGCAATGGCAGGACTGACGGAAGAGCTGCATGTTGTCTCTAGGGGAGCTGGGAGGACCTCGCAGGTGTGGCTTTCAAGTTGTGTCTTGAAGAATGCTTCGGTGTTTGTTGGGTGTTATGGAGAGGGGGGGTTACAGCTTGCATACAGGCGTCAGAAAAGATCAGTCTGGACAGTGGCCAGGGCCTCTTGAGAGAGCCATGCTGTCACTGATATGAGTACACAGGGCTGGGGACAGGCAGTGGTCGGAGCTCCCTTCTACCAGCCTGGGAGAAGCTCCCTAAAGCTCCCCTGAGAGCCGATGCACGAATTCCAGACCCTGGAAATTAGGTGGGGAAAATGGATGTGCCCTTGTCCTCATTTGGGAATTGGATTACTAGCCAGCACAGTTCTCCCAGAAAATCTAAGCCAGAAGTTCATGTTGGTTTTTACGTTCTTCCTTTCACAGGACTCAAAAGACCACCCCCCGCCCCCTTTTTAACATTAAGCCAGATGCCTAGAGTGTGTAGTCTTCAGAATAAACTCTCCACCACAAAGCTCTCTGAAATGGAATGTTCATTTTTCTCTTGATTCTATTAGTGCATCTGATTATGAAGGAAATTTGATTCAGTGTTTAAAAACAAAACAGAACCCAGCCAAACCAGCTATCTGGCCTTATGTAAACCAAAAAAATCCAGTTTCTTGTCACTGAATCTCTCCCCTGTAGCCAGCTATTTTAACATCATCACATAGCCAGCGCTCGGCCTCCCTTGTTTTCTGTAAGATGGAGTTTTCAACATGTCACCTCTTTTATTTATGTAATGAATGGAATCTCTAAAGTTCCTTCCTTGCCTGGGGCTCCAATCCCCAAGGAACCTGTCCAGTTTTCTTTTTCTTGAGATGGAGTTTCACCCTTGTTGCCCAGGGTGGAGTGCGGAGGCAGGGTCCGGGCAACCTCCGCCTCTTGGGTTCAAGAGAGTCTCCTGCCTCGGCCTCCTGAGTAGCTGGTATTACAAGCGTGCGTAACTATGCTCGTTTTTGGTTTTTTTTTGTATTTTATGGGGTTTCACCATGTTGCCCAGGCTGGTCTTGAACTCCAGACCTTAAGTGATCTGCCTGCCTCAGTGTCCCAAAGTGCTGGGATTACAGGCATAAGCCAGTGCGCCCGACCCAGTTTTCTGTATGTAATAGTGAGACAGAGAAATTTTCACCAACAGAGGAGTCTCACGCAGTGTCGGGATTCCTCTTTGATCAATGATAGGCACAGGTGAGTTGAGAGTCTGTCTTACACCTATCCTGGTGACAGCCAGCTTTTTCCTGTGACTTAGGTGTGGCAGCTAGACTCTGGAAGTCTGGCGCCCTTCTACCCCTTCCAGAATGGGTTGGTTCTTGAACAAGAGCCTTAAGCCTGAGGACAGTGTTCTAATTCTCTGCGTATGGGCAAAGGGGGAATGGGGCCAGGGTGGAGTGTGACTCTCTGCAAGTTTGAAAGGCTGTGTACAAACAGAAGGCCTGGCCTCACTCCTCAGACCTCAGGCAGGCCTCTGACGGGGTGGAGACTGCAGCATGGCAGAGCTCCTGCCCACCGAAAGCAGAGGGGAAGGGAGATGAAAGAGGTGGAAAAGTGGCTGGTTTCAAAGCATATGGCCTGCAGTTTTTCAAACGTTTTGAATTCCTAATTCGCACCTCTCTTGTTATCACCACACACTGTAATCGCCAATGGCACTTCTTTTTGCTTTGACACTTGACATTATTTTAGGCCCCTGCTCCTCCTTTGACTTCCCCAAGGGCATTCTAATTTCAAAAGAAAAGTTCATCTGGAATAAGTCCTGTGACTTTGAGACTGGCCTCTCTGGCACTCAGTCGGGTTCAACAGGTGTTTGTTGAATGACTAAATGAATAAAGAAAGCAATTCTCTTGAAAAAGTTTGGGGACATTTTTACTCTCAGCAATGTTTGCCCCCTTCCTTCGTAAACTTGGGATTACCACTTAGAGTAGCCTCCAGGGATTCCCACTGGAAATCAGCAAAGTTGACTTAACAGTTTTGCAAAACAAAACAAAACAAAACAAAACAAAACAAAACAAAACATAACATAACCAAAAAGCTACCTGAAAGGGAATGTTCATTTTTCTCTTGATTCGAATACTGCGATTAAACAACATGGGCGATTCCGGAGGACTGAAAAGCAGGGGACCGGGATCATCCCTGCGTCCCTCCAGCTCGCGGCCCAGTGGGGTGAGGCCGGGGCTTCGGTCAGGGAGACCTCGGCCAGGGAGCTGCTGCACCGGATGCCTTTTGGGCCCCTCTGGGCTTGTCGTTGCGCGTGGCCCCGGCACTGATGTGGGGCTGCAGGGACCCCGGAGCCGGCGGGACCCCAGGGCAGGCGCGAGGGCCCAGTGCAGGTGTCCGGCCTGCGCGCGGGGTGCGCGGGGGTGCTGGGGCCTGGGAGACCCGAGAGAGACGTTATTGTTACAGTGTAACGAGTCTGATTAACATGCTCCTGACACTTTCTCTTAGTTTCTCGGGCTCCTAGCAACAGCGCACAAAGGCGCGGGATGGTCCCGGGCTCCGCGGGGACACGGGGCTGCCTTTGATCTGCCACCATTACAGCCGGGCTGTGCGACAGGCGCGCGGGCTCCGGGCGGCCCGCGGCGGGCGGGCGAGTGGGGCCCACAGTCCCGGCCTCCTCGGCCACAACACCCCCCGGCCCAGCCCTGGCTCCAGCTCTGGCTCCGCACGCACCCGGGGTGCAGGGGAGGCGGCCTCAGGGCTCCGCAGGGCTCGGCGTCCGCGGCCACCGCGTGTCCCAGGCGCTTCTCCTGCCCGCGGGGCTGCCCACCCCGGTTCGCTGTGCCCTTCCCATCGGAAAAAGCAAAAGTAAAACCCAGCCGGCCACTTATAGTGGAAAAATAAAAATAAAAATCATTTAAAAGGAAGGGCGTGAGGGACAAAGAAGTCCCAAAAGATTTTGTCAAAAGACGACTCGCCCCGCAGGCTGTGGCGCCTCGGCGGAAACGGGGTTCGAGCTGCCGCCCGGGCGGTCACCACGGTTCGGCCCCTTCCCGCAGGTCACTCTTTCCATCGCTGGCAATTCTCATGGATTCGGAAGGCGATAAACTGCCAAATAACAACTGGAATTTAAATGAGCGAACACTGCCACCCCCAAATCCCGCTGGCGCGGAGCTGCCAGGTCCCACGTGCGGACTCGCGGGCGCCGAGCGGGGTCTGGGAAAGTCATTGATGTTCTGTGGGAGCCGCGCTCGGCTGTCCAGTTCCGCCCGTGGGAAATATAGCGTGGAGGGAAAGGCGAAGACTTTCACGCCTAAATGCCGGGCCTGGCCGTGCCTCCCTCTCTTCCCCCCAAGATGCGCAGGGAAGCCCGGCGGGGGCTCCGCGGGTCAGACCCGACCTCCGGCCGCGTGCATGAGCTCGGGGCCTGCGGGCCGTCTCAGAACCTGTTTGGTGCCATTCATTGCTTTTCTGGTACTACAGGAAAGAAATAAAACACAGAAGATTCAGTTTTCCAAGGTAAACCAAATCATAAAAGCAGATTTAATCCTTCAGATTCAAATAAACAAAACAAAACTGTGTATTATTTTTTCTCCTCGTGGCATCATAAAAAAAATGACAATGTCCCCAACGAACCAAGTCAGTTTCCCGAACTCCCGCAAAACGACTGGGCGCAAAAGTGTGAATAATAACACGTCTATTTTAGAGACGGGAGAGGGGAAAACAGTATGGTTTGTTCTATCTGCCCAGCGAAATATGCCAGGGAAGGAGTTACTTTCAAATTCAAATTGGAGGCGGTGAAGTCTTCATCCCAGGAGAGGAGGGGTGGGCGGCCGGCGGACTAACACTGGGACATCAGACAGGAAGGCTCCCGGATGCCGAGAAACTTCCTAACTTGTGCTCACGGACAGTGCCCGATTCTGACTGGAGTTCCCGTCACCGTTTCAATAAAACATGACTGTATTGATATAATCCTCTATACATTAAAATGAGGTTGTCACAGATTGTCATTAAGACCTCAGTAAAACAATGAAGACATTATTGGGCACCCCCCCTCAGGCAAGGTATTAGGGGAATAAAGCAATCTACACCACACGGGTCCTATTGAGATTAATGAAAAAATTATGCAAAAAAAATCTCAATTTCATTTTCCCGTGACGGGGCTTTGCATACATCCAGACAGTCTTGCCTTGCACCTGATGATTTATTAAACTAATCCACAGTGATCACCACTTATGTTCTCAATTCAATCTTGTCCTGGCTCATTTTCTAAGTAATTGTTTCTCATTAGTTCTGATAATGTTTTAATAGTGTTACCCATAATTTAGACCCCAAGAATTAATAACAGGGGGGTGATATGACTAAGCAGCTTGTGATGAGCGACACAAAATATAAACAGGTATGGTTTCTAATTAATCAGATTAGCTGCAAAGCCCTCTTCCTGTCGCCCACACCTGGCTCAGGAGTCCGGCAGCCCTCATTTCCCCATGTCGGGGTGCCTGGCATGCCCAGCGGAGATGACTCACATGCCCTCGGCTGCTCTCCCATCCTTCCCAGGGTACCTTGCCCCACCCATGGCACTACAGAGGTTCGGGTGGGGTAAGAGGGGGAATACCCTTTGCCTTCCAGCATCTTCTTCCTGGAGTTTTGTCCTTCAAGGACTAAGGCACTATGGGTCTCTGACCAGGACTGGACTCTTCGGGCCCTCCTCATTTGGGTCTCTGTTCAGGGAATGGGACTTCAGTTCAGATTTGTGGCTCTCATAGACCTAGCCTCATGATCCTACCATAATTGGGACCACTGGGTTAGGAGGAAGATGATAACTGGATATCTGGGGAGACTAAAAAAGGTGGTTTTGTTTAAACAAAGCAGTTTGGGATGAGGGCAGGGGCGCGGCAAGCAGTCCGATGTGGTTGGGACGTAGACACCCGTGGCCTGGGAGTGACCAGCAGTGGGAGGCCTAGCTGGTCTGGCCTCGGCACCAGCTAGGGACCTGGCGGAGGGGCCTGCTTTTCCCCAGGCCTGTAGGGCTCTCTGGGTAGGGAGGGGAGGCTGTCAGTGAGGCCTTGAAGAGGCCCCTCTGCGTGGGGCGGGCTGGCTGCTTGTGGGGCCGGGGTGGAGACTGGAATTCAGGCCTGTCATCCCCTCTAGCCATGGGCTTCTCTGAATCATCCTGGAGGATGGGAAGGGTAGTTAGACTGGAATGAGGGCTGACCATAGGAAAGGCTGAGGCAGGCTTTCTTTTCTTCTTTTGCTTAGGGCCAGCCCTGCCTCCGCCGCTTCTAACATCTTGAGCGAGGGTGTATGGCAGGGTCAGGGGGAGAGGAGGCCTTCCTTTGCCTTCCCACCACCAAGCCATCGTCCCATCCCTCTGTGTTCTGGGTAGAGGGGCAGACTGGGCATTCGCAGCACGATCCTGGGTTACCCGGTGCGCATCTGACTCCAGGATTCCCATCCTGGGTGGGACGCAGCTGCAACCATGGATGCTGGGGGGGGTTCCTCAGGAACTGCTGCTGCTGCCTCGTCCGGGCTCTGGAAGCAGTGTGACTGGAGGCTGTTTGGCTCTGAAGTTGGCAGGATGCCATCTTCCTCCTTCCGGCCTCTGAGTGAGGATGGGGCTAGCTTCCATCTTCCCTTCCGGCCACTCTAGGGCAGCACAGGGCGAGCAGGGTGGAGGGTGCCACTCTATGAGGGCCCCCAAGGAGCGTGTGCCGTCTCCATTTAAGAGCTATCTATCTCCTGGATCCCGTGTTTGGGAACATGAGTTGGTGTCTCCAGAATGGGCATCCCCAGAGCCGTCTTGCCTGGTGCAGTGCTGGCTGCCTGCATGACTTGTCTGTCCCTGTCTGCTGTGCACTGGGGTGGGCGGGGGGGTCACCTGGTGGCGGTGGGATTCTGCGGCCGTGCTTTTGTTGGATGGTGCCTCTCCTGGTGTCTAACCTGAGCTCCACTCACCTCTCGGGCTTCCTGTAGGAACTGCAGGAAGTGGGGAAGAGGAGAGCCCTGGCTGGGGCACACGCTAGGGGCCTCGGAGGAAATAATCCAACAGGGCGTAGGAGGAGGTGAAAAATGAAAGTAAAAAAACAACTGTTTTCTATTTACAAATTTAAATAAACAGAACAGCCTTCCCCGCGGTGTTTGTCTAAGAGTAGCAGCGTTGCTGCTGTGTAGGTCATGAAAAGGTTGGTGTAGAGTTTTAAACTTCCCATTCTGTTAATTTCTTAAGGAACAGTCGTCCAGAGTCTCGGCACAAAAGCTCATGATTTAATGAGGAACAGAAACAAAATCTCTGATTGTTGGTGTTTCAAACTTCATTGGCGTCCTCTGGCAAGCACGAGTTGATCCCTCTGCAGCTTCAATACCCTTTAGCCTTCAATATAAGAGTACATGCTGAATAGGGAACAATGGCTGGTTGTTATGTTTATTTACCCTTACTACAAGCTGGGTTAACCTCTTCAAAACAGCTTTACTAAGCCCGTTAACCACACCACCCATCTGACCTGCAGCCGCATCTCTAATGTGATGCAAATCTCGCAGGGGCCACATGCACCAGCTCGGGTGCATTGTGTCTTCTGAGACGCTACAAGTTTATGACTGAGGGAGTCCTGTCCCGGCCATACATTTCCAGGGGGAAGTGGCCTCAATGGCAAACAGTTAAAGGGGAAAATAAAGGGGGAGAATGGACCATCTTGTGTTTCTGCACATTTAGTTTTAAATTGCCGGTAATGGTTGGCCTACAGCCTTCACCCAGGATGACAGCCTTCCTGTTCATCATCTAGCAGTTCAAGGAGTTGGATGTTTCATTTTGGGGGTGGAGGTTAACAGTAACCAGTTTTGAAAGTTTATTTTTACAAGGTATCTTTATAAGCCAATGTAATACTTAGTAACCTTTTTGATGCCATCTCTGTTGTTTTATCGGATTACTAGTAAAACAGACATGATCCCTTAATGTTGTTACTATTTTTTAAAGGCTTGGCCTTTCTGAAAATTGTCTGTGGTGTCAGCTGTGCAAATGAACGAGCCAGAAACATCTGCTAACATGAGAAGGGTGGGGGGAATCTGTCTATTTGGGAAAGATCCATTTCATTCAAGACCGACCTTCCCCTCACAGCCCATCTTGCCCCATGACTTCATTCCCCTGTGAACTCATAAGCCCATATTTGTAATACACTAAAAACGACAAAATCATAAGCTTGGATCCAAAAGGAAAAACGGGGAATGGCCAGTAAGACGACAAGAACAAAATCGTGATTAACATGAACTGTAAATGAAGTCAGGTCCCAATCTGGCATCCTAACAAGTTGCCTTGAGTATTGTGGTTTGTCTTTGAGAAACCCACTGTATATGTTCAGCCCACCTGATGAGAGCTTCATTGAACAGATCATTTTTCCTTGATGGAGGTGGCAAGCGTAACAATGTTCTGGGCCTGCTTCAGTAACGGCATGTCGATCATACTCCCTTGGAAAGTAAAGGCTCCCTGGAAAACAGAGAATACAGACTTCCTGCAAGAATGCTCGAAATTATCGGCTTCCTTTCTGTGCACGCTTGTACAAGAACATTTTAGATTCCACCTGAATTATACTGACTTTCCTACCCAACTTTTGAGAAAGCCAAAGTAAATTACATAGGAGAGTTTTCTTTTTTCCTCCTAAAGAGGGGAAAAAATTAAAAATCTTCAGCAGTTTAAGGAAGATTTAAGGAGAGGAGATGAAAACACATCGGACACAAGACAGGAAACTGTTCCGTTAACTTGAAATCAAGCAGAAAACATCTGTGGAAGGAAAATGTAAATACTTCCCTATATATTTTTGAAATATTATGTAGAACTTTAAAAGCAGAGATAAATTCTAGCAACTAATTATTGTTTTAAAAAATTGTACCATCAGGTTAATGGCAGAATCCTACCACTTTGCTGTAACATAATTGAGAGGTAACATGATAAGGTGATGAGAAAACGCAAGGTGGGATTGTACTGAGTACAAAGAGATGAGTCTGTTGGCACACACTTACAGAAGACGACTAGAATTACCAGGGAAGGCCGGGTGCGGGGGCTCACGCCTATAATCCTAGCACTTTCAGAGGCCAAGGTGGGTGGATCACCTGAGGTCAAGAGTTTGAGACTAGCCTGGCCAACGTGGTAAAACCTTGTCTCTACTAAAAATACAAAAAAAAAAAAAAAAAAAAAAATTAGCTGGGCATGTGGTGTGTGCCTATAGTCCCAGCTACTTGGGAGACTGGGGCAGAAGAATTACTTGAACTTGGGAGGCGGAGGTTGCAGTGAGCCAAGGTCACACCACTATATTCCAGCACAGGCAATAGAGCAAGACTCTGCCTCAAAAATAAATAAATAAATAAATAAATAAATTACCAGAGACATGAGTCTGTAACAAATAAATCATTGATCAGTTGAATGTTGAGATGGGAAGGTATTTCTGAAATCTGAAATAACCACATTTTACAGATTCATTTTTTAAAAACTTCTACCATATTTATATCGAATATGTCAAGTAACCTAACCCCTGTTCTAGATGAGGAAACTGAGGCCCAGAGTGGTAAAAGAAGGAAAAAAACGATGTAATCTTCCAAGGTCATGTGACTAGGAAAAGCTAGAGCTTGGGCTGACGCTTGGGTCTCAGAGCTTCAAGCCTTCCTCAAAGATTAAGAAGACAAGGTAGCTTCTTTAAATGCATCAGCAAAAGATAGATTAAATGGACAGGAAGCAGTATGCTCAGAACCCAGAATTAATGCCTGGTTATTTGTGTTCTTTTCACCCCTTCCCTTTGCTGCTTACCATCATAGCCCTTCATTCTAATCCACCCCGCTTCGACCTGTTGGCAAGGATGCTGGTGTGAGTGGCGTGCAGGGGGTCCTTTGAGATCTGGAGGTGATTGGGGCAATCCTAATGCACACTGATGATGGTCCATTTGCATCTACTGCAGCCCATTTTCGGATTTCACAAGTACTGCTTCCCAGCAGTCAATGCTGCTGTTACTAAGTGCTGCCTGGATCGGAGTGCTGGGCCGCCATGACGAGGGCTGAGAGGTGGTCACTTACGGTTATGCACAGGATGGAGATAAAGAAAAATGGGGGAATCCTTAGCAGTGACTCGGGGATTTACCTTTTGATTGAGAGGCATTCTAAGCCTCCTAGGATTAGAATTTTTACCAGCAGTGCCCAACCTTCTCCGCCTTAGAATGATGACGCTTACTCATATGAACACCTGTGTGGCCTAAATTCCTGTACTCCAAGTCACTTCCCAGCCCTCTCGTTTTTACTGTTTGCACCCCCAGATTGTCCTTTCCGTAATTTCATTCAGCCTCAAGCTAATTTTGGTCACCTCTATGACCAGGAGGAATTTTACTAATTTGGTTGGAAGTTCCAATTTGGTTGGAGGTCCTGTAGGTTGGTGTTTCATGGAGATCAGGGCCTGGATCACATGCTGTTTTACAACGCGATCGTCTACTTTTCTTATCGGAGTAAATGATGAAGACCAAAGGCCTCTTGGTTATCCGCCCACCAAGTGGATTATGGCCCCGTAAAACAGCACGTCTGTCCTGTTAGGCCTTAAACAATAGGCTGGGCAGATGAAATTAGCATAGATGCACGCAAAATCAAAACAGTGCGCAGAGAATCCCAACGGTGGCCTTGAGTCTGTACCATGTTCCCGAATCTGCTTTGGGTTCCACGTGCACATCAAAGATTAAAACACTTGATGTCGTTTTTCAAGACTGGGAGATCATTTCTTCTATGGTGGCACATTTTGCTTGATTTTCTTTAATGAAGCTTAAGGTGCAAGACAAAATGTGGCATTTTTGTTCTGTTTCCTGCTTCTCTGCAAATGGAGGATGTTAATGTTATGAACGGGACTGCCTAACGTGAACACCCTCAGGCTCTGACATACCCACCTATGATATGGGTGGTATTTTTTAACATACGTATCTATAGGTGAGATGACAATAGTCTATTGGTCAGGATTTGGAAAAATGCAGTTCATCAAAAGGCTACTTGGATTTTTGGGGAGGGTTTGAAATCTTCCTTAATGATTATATTTATTTATGTATTTTTTGAGACTGACTCTCATTCTGTTGCACACGCTGGAGTGCAATGGCGTGATCTTGGCTCACTGCAACCTCTGCCTCCCAGGTTCAAGCAAATCTCCTGCCTCAGCCTCCCAAGTAGCTGGGATTATAGGCGCCTGCCACCACACCTGGTCACTTTTTGTATTTCTAGTAGAAACAGGGTTTCACCGTGTTGGCCAGGCTGGTTTCGAACTCCTGACCTCAAGTGATCCACCTCCCTTGACCTACCCAAGTACTGGGATTACAGCGTGAGCCACTGCAGTTGGCTTTAATAATTACGATAAGTTTAAGTTTCATAGCCCAATGCTCTCCTCAAAAACTGTCACAGTGTTTCAAAAAGTACAAAGAACTTCTATCAGCTTGAAGTTTCAGACTATAATTTCATTTAAAATGCCTTTAAATAGTAAATTCTTCTTCTTTTTTTTTTTTTTTGAGACGGAATCTCACTCTGTCACCCAGGCTGGAGTGCAGTGGCGTGACCTCGGCTCACTGCAACCTCTGCCTCCTGGTTGAAGCGATTCTCCTGCTTTAGCCTCCGGAGTAGCTAGGACTACAGGTGCACGCTACCATGCCCGGCTAATATTTTGTATTTTTAGTAGAGACGGGGTTTTACTGTCTTAGCCAGGATGATCTTGATCTCTGGACCTCATGATCCACCTGCCCTGGCCTCCTAAAGTGCTGGGATTACAGGAGTGAGCCACCGTGCCTGGCTTTTTTTTTTTTTTTTTCTTTTTGAGACGGAGTCTTGCTCTGTTGCCAGTCTGGAGTGCAATGGCGTGATCTCGGCTCACTGCAACCTCCCCTTCCCAGGTTCAAGTGATTCTCCTGCCTCAGCCTCCCAAATAGCTGGGACTACAGGTGTGTGCCACTCACTGTGTTTGGCTATTTTTTTTTTTTTTTTTTTTTTTTTTTGTATTTTTAGTAGAGACAGGGTTTCACCATGTTGGCCAGGCTGGTCTCAAACTCCTGACCTCAGGTCACGAACCACTGTGCCTGGCCTCATAGTTAAATTTTTTTTTTTTTTTTAAGACGGAGTTTCGCTCTTGTTACCCAGGCTGGAGTGCAATGGCACGATCTCGGCTCACCACAACCTCCACCTCCTGGGTTCAGGCAATTCTCCTGCCTCAGCCTCCTGAGTAGCTGGGATTACAGGCACGCGCCACCACGCCCAGCTAATTTTTTGTGTTTTTAGTAGAGACGGGGTTTCACCATGTTGACCAGGATGGTCTCGATCTCTTGACCTCGTGATCTACCCGCCTCGGCCTCCCAAAGTGCTGGGATTACAGGCTTGAGCCACCGCGCCCGGCGCTTAGTTAAACTTTTTAACCCCCTTGTTCCTGTAATAATAATAGCTATAATTTTTTGAGGAGTTCCTAGTCTGGGGCCTGTTGCCTGGGACTTTACATGCATTATTTCGTGTAATGCTCATAACAACGCTTTGAAGTAGATACCATATGTATCCCCAGTAAAACTTTCTCTTTTTAGTTGTGGCAAAAACATATAACAAATAATTCACCCTCTTAGGCATTTTTAAGTGTACAGTTTAGTAGCGTTAACTCCATGTACATTGTGCTACAGATCTCCAGAGCTTTTCCTTCTTGCAAAACTGAAACTCTGGAGGCCGATTGCGGTGGCTCACGCCTGTAATCCCAGCACTTTGGAGGCCAAGGCAGGTGGATCACCTGAGGTCAGGAGTTCGAGACCAGTCTGGCCAACATGGCTGAAACCCCATCTCTACTAAAAATACAAAAATTAGCTGAGTGTAGTGGTGCATGCCTGTAATCCCAGCTACTCAGGAGGCTGACGCATGAGAATTGCTTGAACCCAGGAAGCAGAGGTTGCAGTGAGCCAAGATCATGCCACTGTACTCCAGCCTAGGTGACAGAGCGAGTCTCTATCCTTAAAACAAAACAAAAATCCCTGAAACTCGGTATCTATTAGACAATACCCCACTTCTATATCCCCTGGCAACCACCATTCTACTTTTGGCAAAGAATGCCGAAAGTAGAATCCTTGGGTCTCACTCTGTCACCCAGGCTGGAATGCAGTGGTGCCAACATGGCTTATGCAGCCTCCACCTCCCCGGCTCAGGCCATCCTCCTGCCTCAGCCTCCGGAGTGCCTTGGACCATAGGTGTGCACTACCAGGCCCAGCTAACGTAGAGACAAGGTCTTCCTATGCTGCCCGTGCTGCTCTCAGACTCCTAAACTCAAGTGATCCTCCTGCCTTGGCCTCCCAGAGTGCTGGATTACAAGGCATGAGCCACTTTGCCCACCAGCATTCTACTTTCTTTCTCTGTGAGTCTGTACCCACCCCCTTTTTAATAACTGAGGCACAAGGAGCTTAAGAAACGTGCAACTTGGCTAGTAAATATATAACGGGGCCGGGCGCGGTGGTT